GGAAGAAAAGGCAGCTGAGTTGGAACGAGAGAGGTTGGCAGCTGAGAGGGCCAAGGAGGAAAAAGCAGCTGAGTTGGAGAGAGAAAGGCTGGCTGCTGAAAGGGCGAAGGAAGAAAGAGAGCAACAATTGAAGTTGGAGTTGGAGAGAGAAAAGCTGGCAGCTGAAAGGGCGAAAGAAGAAAGAGCGGCAAAGGAGCGACAGCTGAAAGAAGAAAGAGAGCAGCAATTGAAGTTGGAGCTGGAGAGAGAAAAGTTGGCAGCCGAAAGGGCGAGAGAAGAAAGAGAGCAGCAATTGAAGTTGGAGCTGGAAAGAGAAAGACTGGCAGCTGAGAGGGCGAAAGAAGAAAGAGAGGAAAGGGAACGGCAGCGACAGCACGAGATGGAGCTCGAGCGGCTCCGTTTGCAACAGCGAAGTGAAACTCCGGTCCAAGCTAGAGTTGAAAGCAGCGAACGGGAGGACCACAACTTCCGCTTGAACCCAAGCATTGCATATACTGCATATATTCATATATTTTGCATATATTCTGCTATTGTATATACTGTAATGAACTAGATAGAGAACAAGAGACAACACCTGAGCCTGGGCCAGCTGTTTTTGTTTTGTTTTGTTTTGTTTCCCTGGGAGGTTGGCTCATACCCACTTAGGGGGATTGGCCAAGAAAGTGTAGTGCAGTTTATCTATAATCATTTTAACTATGTGTAATGAATTGGTATTATAATAAGACTAATGTAAAAATAAAAACAACATAAAAAGAGCAAACGAAAAAAAAAATCAAGTTGAGCAATTTTGAGATTTGAGGTGTTATGTTTACCACTTAGCTGCGTTTACTTCACTCTGCCCTTGGGAGTAATAAATAATTTTTTTTTGTTTTTGATTGAAGATCACAAAGGTATACGCTTGGTTGCCTGAATATAATCGCAAACGGCATTGAAAGCATCCCTGTGGCAATGTCCCAAAGCTGAGGCGCCAAAGCTTAGCGCCGTTTCCGCTGTCAATGTAAGACCTATTTTCCGAAATGGCATAACTAGTAACCTTTTTCTAAGTATTTCGTAGCGGCGACAATACAAAAAATAATGATCTAGTGATTCCATTTCTCCGCAGAATGCGCAGAGGGGTGATGTTGTCTGACCAGCTCTGTGTAGATATAGGTTTAGGGGGGGGACACGACATCGAAATTTAGTGATTAAGACTTCGATCTTTCTGGACTGACTCCAGTGGGGTTGCCATGGAAACATGAGGTGGTTATAGTCTGTCCATGTAATTACTTTTTCTATCGTATCAGTGGAGATTGCCGATTTTCGATATCTTATAGCCGTGATATATTCTACATCTGGCAGTATGGACAAAACTGGCCCATCAAGTGCGGCTCGAGCTAAGGAATCGGCCAATTCATTTAATCTTAATCCACAGTGACCCGGAACCCATAGTAATCTCAGGAGTCTCAACTGCGGCGGTACTAATGTTTTGAATGTGCTTAGAATTCGAGAGTTCTTTGAAGCTGTCAGAGCTGCACAAACTGAAAGAGAATCCGTCATTATTACTGCATTGTTTTGATTTGATGGAAGTTTTCGAAGAGCTAAAATAATCGCCAAGAGCTCCGCTTCAAAAATTCCCTGCTGCAGTAATGCCCTCATGGCGCTGCAGCTACTTGCAAAAATAAATAAAAATAATTTCTCCACAGCTGTGCCACCAAGACAAGACCAGCAAGAGTATTGTAGTAGCTTAGTAAAAGAAACTTAAAAATAAATAGGAACTTTGTCAATGAAAATCTACAGTCTCTGTGCTTTGTACTTCTATACTCCCGCCAAAAATTTTAGGAGGACAAAGCCTAGAAGAAACCACAGTGAAAGTTGTGTATTTTTGCCATGCATTGATACGAGTGAACTTTGTTCAGTGGCTCAGTTGGTTGATGCAAGCAATTCTTTTTAAATTTTTATAATGGTGTATCTGTCACTGACTATTTAGGTGGCCAGCAAGTAGAATGGTTTTCGAATGTTACAAAGATGATTGCCATTCAAGTGAAAGGAACATTATACTCTTATAACCAATTGCATTTTCCTGGCTTTCAGTGGCTACAGACCTAAATGTAGCACCAGTACAGTCATTACTAGTTAAACATTCTGCCTCAACTCGTTACACAGAGATGCAAAGATTGTGGGCTGTAGGCAACAAGCTTTTAACTTGCATTTATTTTTATTTTTTGATTAGTACACTTAACTTACACATTTGGAATATTTTCCTTCTCGCTTATCTTGGTTTCATCATCTGTTAGCTCCATACACTTGTATCTAACAAAAACATGCCCTTTTATTTGTTTTCCCTTTTTTATTTATTTATACAATGACAATTTAGCAAAAAAATGTGACTCTGCACAACACATCACTGTATACAGCGAAGCGTTTGACAGATTGACGGTCGGCAACTACCATTGCACATCTCATCGAACCCAAAGGTAGGTTAAATAGTATATGGCATCTGTATCTAGTTCCAGACTGTCTGGTTATTCACAAGGTCTGCAATTAAAGTTGAGCAGAATAGCATGGTACTATCTAATGATGGCCTATTCCTACCCTTTCGCAATAAACAAATACAAATAGCCAATGATGTTTTATTGAGCATGACAATACAGTAGACTTTCGTTAGACAGAAGCTGGAGGAACCAGCAAACATATGTTCTGTTTAACAAGAGTTTCGCTTGTTGAGAGATAAATAGGGCTGCAACATTCAAGTATCAAAGATATTTTATTAAAGGCAGCTGTTCCTTTCAAGCAGTAGTTTCATTTAAGATATCTCCATTTACTGTGAATCTACTTACTCTTGACTCTCGGTGTATTCTGTAATCTATTATACTCTGTATTCTCAATGAAGCTTAGGCACTAGTGATCACATTTGGAGATCACTGTCATAGGCAATACTGCCATATTGCCATGTCTGATGGGTGCTAATTGGCCGGTGAAACAGGAAAACTGATGGTGCCATCTAGAATTACTGGCGACCCCAACCTAATATCGAGGCACTCCGCTGTGCTCTTGGCATGCGTGGGATAATTTCAATAACATATTTTATTTATTATTTTTATTTAGTACCTACTGCAGTCCGTACACCAAGCAGGAACCGGGGTGAAAGGAGGGAAAGTTAAAAGGTTTACACAGCAAGCTTTCTAACTACACCTGATGCTACAACTGCAAAAACAAGTACATACTAAGTAGGGAGAACAAAATATACACTACTGGGAAAAAAGTTCACACATTTCTAGAAAGAGCCTCAAGCACAAAAGTAAGGCAACACAAGTGAAATCATAAAATGACATTATCTAGCATGGCAGTACCAATGTTGTCTAAGCGAAAAGATACATGTATTTTTTGAAGTCAGGATTGCCATGTTCAGGAAAAGCCTATGCAGGCAATGTATTCTATTTGCTAATGATTCGCGGAAAGAAGGAGTACTTAAAAAGGTTGGTACATGCAAAGTATGGTGCCAGATCATGATTGTGACTATGTCTGGTTGACCTGGAAGAAGACAAAGGGAGGAATTCACAAGGATCGATAGCATTCGGTAGTGTTTCTTAATGAAGGTGTACAGCATTTCCATTGCAGAAGCTTTGAGAAAGTGTTATATTGGTGCGTTTCCAGCGATCGTTGTTTTGTGAGCACGAGTTTTTCTCTCTTCTTTTTTTTGTGTGGTTTGAACATGCCAGCAACCAATTGTGCATTGCTCATGTAGACTATAATGCACCGGCAAGATGTAGAGACGATGTTGCGGGGCAGCACACCAGAAGTGAGCTCTCCGAGTATGCCATTTTGAAGAGATTCCGACTTGAAAATTTTCAGTGGTCACTTCTTTGCATCAAATGAAAGACGATACTCTCAGGAGCCTATAAAATGCATGGGTAAGCATGATCGCACCCCGAAAAATGAACTGCGTGTTTTTAGCAGCTAGTTTCGGTACCCAGTGTACCCTGATGCCACAAAACTGTATAAGTTTCTGTTCAAATGCTTGCGAAACAAGTGACATTTTCACAGCCACTCCGCTGCATGGCTCTGATGGTGGCGCACAAGTGGCCATTTTGAATATATCGAGAATGCGCAAGCAGCCACTTCGGCCATTTTGCTGCGTGACGTCATCCCTAGCTATGCAGGCGTGTGAAGTTGCCAGTATTGACGTCACACTGGTGCCGATGTCAGTGAGTGTGTCACGCAAACAGTGATTTTAATATTCGAACAAAATATCTCATCAACAGTTATAGAGCTTCCCATTTGCTCAGGGCCATCTCTGGATACAGGAGATTTGTGTGACAGCGTAAACTTATCAAGGAAAATTGGTGTCTGTACCCTTTTAAACACTGAACTGCAATACGTTTCCCTCAAGCGTGCATTCTTTGAAAACTATACTTCACTTTAAGCACGAGTGTTGAAGATTGGACGAGTTGGTTCGTCGTACTTGAACTGGTAGCGCTCTGTCCTCTTGTGTCGGTCTGCTCGGCCGTTTCTTCTTCCCCGTAATGCGCTATACCAGTTCAAGTTCACTTTAAGCAGTTATATAAGAAACACTTGAAGCTCCTTCAACACTTTTGGCACGTGTCTCCCCTCAGCATGGAAACTTGGAAACTCAGCACTTGGGTCCCTCTGTATTCGTACAGAGCACTCTTTTGTTGTGCGAGGTTCCTAATAAGCGATGGCCAGTGCAGCAATCATGCCATGGGCAAGTTGTTGGTTCAGTTATTGAACACGCCCGAGTACAGATCACGCAAGGCAACACTGTCGCTTTTTTGCGGTCACGTTAGGCTGCTGCAGGAAAGAGGAAGGAGCAACAAAAAATAGGTAGGCATTGGATCTCTAGGTTCAAAACAGAAGAATTCCTAATGGCTGCCAACATTTCACTAGCCTTGAGTTTTCTGCGACAATTAGGGTCATAGAGTGCCAACAGGTGTTTTGCAGCTGTGTATGCATCCTGTTGAGTATGACGGCGTCGGGGCATGCAGCACGTGTGTTTAGCTTACCCAGTGTGGATCCAACTATGATGCCGTAGCCTAGGCATTTGCTCAATGCTAACTTGAGGCAGCCCACTGCAAATAAAAAAGAAGCATGGCAGACAAATCAATACGAACTGCAAATATAACATTGGTGTTGTTCCAGATAAACATATTTCCTATAATTTAGCTATTCTTGCCAAGCACTCACATACATTAGTCGAGAGATTTTTTTTTAATTTGAATTCAATAAAGGCCCTCAACGATCAGTACAGGGTACGTACAGACAGATGCACATTAGTAAATGAGTGCATAGATATGCAAAAAAAATTTGCGGTGAAAGTACGATACGCTGGATAAGGTTGATAAAAGGGTAAATGTTAATGCAAAACACAATTTCGCTAGATATCTTTTGGCAAACAATCACCAGTGTTCCGGAGTGATGGTGTGCAATGGTGCAGTCGTTGAAATCACATTCAGTTTCGGGCCACATACCTTGTTAGAACGGTATCATCGCATAAAACATGGGTAGAAGGTGTTAGAGAAGACAATGCAATAACAGATGGACGAGACAATGAATACGAAGGAGATTACAGAAGTGATCATAGGGGGGACGTACGTAGCACTCGGCAAGGAAAGTATGGTTTTTTTTAAGATGCGATTATGGGGCCCACAAGGAAGTCGAAGTCTTGAAAGACGATTAAGGGCAACAATGGAAACAGTGGCACGGTCCGAATAACGCAAGTTCTAAACTTTCACCCAGACGTGTTATCGCGCGATGCCGCTCTGCTCAGGCTAAGGGAAATGAGACGTTAATTGTCCTCTGCTAATGTGATACGGGTTTCCAGTTTCTCGTTCGAAACAACGACATCAAGAAGAACACAATCGATGAAGAAGGTGTGACGAGCACCAAGCAAACACTTTCATTCGCTACAAAACATCCATCAGACGTGTCGCCTATATTGCGCGTATCTTTTTCGTCCTAGATAAGTGAAAGTGCCCGAACTGCGCTGGCGCCCGATTAGTTTAAGAGTAGGCACAACGGAAGCGATAAAGATCTGAATACGCGAAGGCGTTTTTTTTTTTTTTTCCGCCCTCGAGGACTATTTGCCTGCGCTATTTCCTCGACGGAAAGTACGTCCATCCGACACACAGCAGACGACCCCCGGGGGAACCCGAGACTTCGTGGACTCAAATACGACATAACGCCAGGGCTTCAGTGGCCGACTTACCATTTTCGAAGTTGTGTCGTACAATTATCTCGTCGTAACATTTTCCGGGGAAGAAAGCCTGCAGTACTTGCTTCACTAGCGTACCCATGTCGTTGCGATTGCCGCCACGAAAACTCAACCAAAGTTGCGGTGACGAATCCTGTAGCTTCTAAAAACTCTAGCAGAGGTAGCGCATCGAGTGCGAAACTTTCTATGCAACGTAGGATTACAGTGTGTCAGTGTATCATGCATAGAAGAAGCCCGCGTAGACACTAGCGCCAGGTTTCCCTCTAAGTAATATTGTATGAAACTCTATGATATCGTGTATTCACCGTAATTGCGCAAAATACAAGTGTTTGAATTGTTTTAAAGTAAAATTTTGTATTTTAGTTGTTGTTTTTAAATACAAGTTTAGGCGCCTAAACTTTGCGTTTTATATGGCAAAAGTGTTGTACTACAACAAAATTTAAACTATGTAACAATGTTGCCTGACGAATAAATATTTTCAAACTGCGGATCATTTTTAAAATCATAAAAGTAAACAATCCAGCAATAAATAAGTGCATTAAAATCTCTAAAAATTGTTAATTGTATAAGTGCGTCATTCACGACAGTGTTGCAGTTTAAAAATGAGAGTCCACGCTCGACATGAATGAAAGTTCTAAAACAGTTGAAAATTGTTAGTTGCTTGAACTGAGTAATACTGACTTTAAAATAAAGTTACTAATAAAAGGGAAAGCTTGCAGGAGTGCTAGCTAACTGTTTTATTAGTAGATTTATGACCACAAGCTGTCAACATTGATGGACACAACCTTTTGTCGAAGAGCGTTTCTAAAATGGCGACCAGCGCCGAAGAAAACTGTTATGACGACCCAAACTTTGCGGTGATCTGTTCGTTCGTACTGAATTTCGGTGAATTATGCGGCGTCAACATCTCCATCTCCGAGCTGCAGTCTATGCTGGAGGATACCAAAAATGGTACGTGATCGGCTGCGCTTTCGTAATGCCGCCGAACGACGACGGGCCGTGTTTACCCCCCCTTCTCCCCACTCGAAAATAATCGCTGGCCCGTTAGCGTTGCATTTGACTTGCACCGTGAACAATGCTACCGTCGACACGCATTTACACGCATAGCAAGATCGCAGGCTTGTGCAACCACGAACTTGCAAGAACAAACATTGCTCACGAGCGCTGTGTGTTTTCCGTGTAGCGAACGATAGCGCGACCTCCATGGCTCGGTAGCGATTCCGAACCTTCGCGATTGCGTTGGTCGCGCGATGCTACGAGCATATTTTTGCGGCAACCAGCGGTACGATGTCTTTCTGCACTTCGATTCAAATGTCGGCGAGAAGCCTTGCGAGCGTAGGTCAGTCAGCAGCTTCCGATTTTCTTTGCGGATCAAACAAGCGCACCGTGAAAGCCGACGGAGTTGCCGACCCTCGGCGGCGGCGCAATTTGCGCTGACAGCGCGGCTCGGGTGCCGGGGTTCACGCGTCTAATGGTCGGAAATTTCCCAGACTGTGTGATTTGTAGCGGCCGTTCGTTTTCGCGGCAGTAGTATGTAGCGCTTGCTGCTCGTTGCGCGCTTCGAGAACGGCCTATCGCAGGGGATGAGACCTGTTTGTTCGAAGCTGACGGGAACGGCAGCAGCGAAAAAGAAAAATAAGCGGAAGCGCCTCCCGCTGGCAAGAGTCCGGCGCGCGGGCGGGCGCCAGCGAAAGGGGGAAAAGAAAGGCTTTCCAGAGCTCGTATAACGTTTATCGCATCGACGTGATCGCCGCTTACAGCTAGACTGCGCGCTGCGTCCGAAGGACTGCGGTGCCTTTCGAAGGCGGCGGTTGAGTAACGATAATTGGCAGCGCCGCGCTGCTCACGCCAGCAGTTTCTTGTCGTCTGCATTCGCCGCCGCGCGCTCGTGCGAGTTGCCGGCTTTGCGTTTTGTGCGTGTTCAGCGATTTCGTCGTATCGTCCCATTCTTTACGACCGTGCTTTCAGCACAGACTGACCTCGTCTGTGAATCTTTGATAAATAAATCTAAGCGCGACCGTTGTGGTGCCAGAGCGCCGTGGGTGGGTCGACACCGGAACTGCAGGCTCCGCCGCATCGCTTGCGCGCGTCGCATCCGAAAGCGCGCCTGTCATGTGATGCCTGCCGACTGCGCGCACATTGGTTCCGCTTCTTGTTTTGGTTCCGCTTCTTGTTTCGAGGTCCACTTCGTGCTAAATCCAGATTACTTTATACAGTGAATCAGATGTCATTGCCATTGGCTCCTAGCTTAGTCTCCCAGAAATGGCTAGGTGACTATCTGTTATATTTATTTTAATTTGTTCATTTATTATTCGCTCTCTGTTACGGAAGGTATTTTAGTGGAGCACTTTAAGATGTGTTTGAAACATTATGCTGTTGTTTTCTTTGGACAAAGGTAGTTATTTCAGGATTTTTACGTACATTGAACCAATTTTATTTCGCCAAGACTTATCATTTCTTTCAGTTCATTTGCTTAACTTTTTTAGTTTATGTAAGCTTCTGCAAACTTTCATTAATCATTGAATAAAATGCTGAGACTACCCATGTTGGTAAATGGCAAATTGTTTCATTGTTTCTGGTGCATGCGGGCCATGAACAGTTTGGTGTTTCTGCGCTTGCCTTTTTGCATTGTAAATACTCGCTGGTGAAGTTACACTAGGAAGGAACATCAAGCCAAATTGCTAGATGACAATTCTGAAGAATAGCAACAAGTGCAACTCCTGCCGATAGGTGATCCAAGGAAAAAGGATCGAGCGAAAGCACTGCCCTGAAGTCGTACATGTTCTTTCCGGCACTGTGTGATATTGTGATGTCCGAGCATGGTGCCTCGGGACTTTACATTATCTCTTAAATACACGTGAGGAGTATGTTGCTTTGCAACGACACCTGACGTTCAACGTATCCGCTTTGGTAGCCGAATCGCTGTGTTGTTATATTGCATATGTTCTGGGTTCAACCCTGGCTGCTTTTCAGTGGGTGTCGTGTGTGGGCCCCTCTGTGTGCTTAGATTTAGGCACATATTAAAGCAAACCCAGGTGGTAAATATGTATGCGAAGCTTCTCACTGCAGCATGCCTTAGTTATTAAACTTGAATGCATGTTTACCAGCCTTGTTTTTTATTTCTTTGTTTTTTTTGCTCCTTTTCCGAATTGTTAGCCTGTGCATGAGCATGGTGGCATCTGCCAAAACCTTTGTGGCAGTGGCGGAAAGCAGATGCAGCATCCTCAGTCCACTCTGGTTGGGCGGCCGGGTCTTTTTTTTTTTCTTTTATAGCCAATAACTCTGTCGAGAGCTTTAGGGATGTGGCACACTTTAGAAGAAAGTGGTGATGGAAGTTTAGTGGGCCCAGGGATTCGATATCGGACTGTTTTCAAGGAAGTTGGGCATAGAAAGTCTCCAATAGCCTTCACTTTTCTGGCAAGTTTTTGCATACCTTGTGGAATAATACTGGTGGCCTAAAAACTCAGTCGTAGCAACTTTGAAGAGGCCCTTATCGGGAATTAATGCGAAGTCTTCCACTGTACTGCAGCATGCCATAGTTATAAAACTTGAATGCACGGTTGTGAGCTGTTATTTTTTAGTTTTCTCCCTTTTTACTTTTTTCTCCGATTTGCCAAGCATGTCTGTGGAGCAAAGACTCTGCCCTTGGTACTGTGATATGGTAATTTGATAATACTAGTGATACCTATTTATTCTTTTTTTTCTTTAGTATGCCTTTAAAGTAGTTCTGGAGGGATACACTAATGAGTTCACACTGATCAAGTAATCTCAAACCATATTATCGCAATAATCTTGTGGCGAGAAGTTGCTAGGGCGTCACCAGGTGTCGTGAATTTTTCCCTCCACAACTGTGTACTCTCATTGTGCTCTTGTGCTCTTGTTCTGTTGTGGGAATGCAGTGGACGAGACCCTGATAGACCTGCACGTCCACCTTTTGAGGAAAGCAAGTAGGAGGGTGCAGCGTGACCGTTGGGAAAAAGCCCTCATCAAGGTTTGTTTTGTTCACATTACTTTGCATACAAACATGTCTGGAAAGCACAGTGCTCTTGTGTTGTCACTGTCCTGTCCTAATTGTTGAAAATTCCAATAACCATCAGCACTTTTTTTTTTTATCTCGACAGCCAACCAATGAAGTTTACAGGGTCCCTGAAATGGTTTTTTGAAGTTGAAGTTGAGCATTATCGAAACTATTCCCACCAGAAATTTGGCGATACGGCGTGTGCCAAGGCTGTTACAGACAATTATATCGACCCTCCTTTTCAGCCTGTGCCTTGCCTCCTCAAATTTTGAGACACGCTGGTGATCGCAGAGCTCCTATGAGCGCACTAGACGATATGTGCTTCACCTAGTCTAGACATTCAAGTTTGTACGCCGTCAGGTTACGCACAATGACGGAGGCCATCACAAAAATGCACTCGACAGCACGCACGCCGTCTGGCAACAGAGAGGAGGATCGCGGAGTGGTTTATATCTGCTTGCTCCAACAGGTGTCCCCTACCAGCCGATTTAACTTACGTGCATCGCACAGCCAATCAGATTAGCAGCCTCGACGACGTCACGCTACCAGAGCATGTTGTTCTGCGAATGGGCGGTTTAAAACGGGTTTAGCTGAGTTGCAGCCATCTGCAGCGATTCGCAGCTTTGAAGTGTTGTAATAAATTACACAGTTCATGTAGAGAGCTCAAAAGAGGCTGTAAATTATCCTTAGCACTTGGTCTACCGGCCCAATGTGTTTGTACAAAATTGTCAAAACCATTTTAGGGTCCTTTAAAGAATTGTAGCGGTCATTGGTGGAAATTCTGTTTGTTTCTTGTTTTTTTTTTATGTCTTTGGGTGAGAAAGCTGAAGAAATATATTTTGTCACCCTTTTAAGCTTAACAAAAGTATGTGTGTCATAATATTGAGGTATGCTTGTGCCTATTTCAGAGATTGTTTTTCATCTCACTTTATAGAAGCTTGTAACCAGGCTTGGATCAAGGTTTTTTTTTTTTTTTCAGCCCTGGTAGGGAAAGATGGGTTCCGACTTAGTGGTATTGACTGGATATATGCTTTCGGAAGGGGATATGCTACTTCAGCACTGGGGCACATCGGCCATTTTTGTTGGGTTCCATCGTGGAATAATCTGCTGGTGTTTCTATAAAAAGCGACTGCCACAGAGGGGTTGAACCTCAGTTGTTGGCGAAGTTTTCGAACCAAAAAAATGTAGGTGTTTTTTTCATCGTCCAGTGCTAAACAGTTAACGGACCTCACCGTGCTGTGATAAATCTACAATAACGCATTATAACAGCTCTGCGTGTAGAAAGCCTCGTCCAGGTGACACGTGCAAGGGGCACACCTCTTCTCAAAGCTGAAATGCCATTCTGTAGTGGCATGTGCTTCGGAGATAGGAGGTAGACGTCCAAGAATAGTATTCATTACAGAGGAGTTGTGACTGTCATACTTCTAAAGTAACCTTGAACTGTAATAAAGTGCTATTTTACTTCCCATTTGCAATAATATACATGCGTTATAAACGCTCATCAGATATCAACACTAGGTTGTTTCTGCGCAACCTGTGCAACATTGTGCTGCTTTTCTTGCCTGATTTCTTTTGCCACAAGTATCCCTGTATCTTGCTCAGTAGCATGTGTCACAGTTTTTTTTTTTTTTTAATAAACAAGGCAAAGACATGTGCTTGAGTGGTTCACTGCAAACTTAACAAAGATACTGATTGCTTGTTTCAGCTGTACACTGAGTGCCGCTCAAGTAGTGCTATTTTTTCTGCAGACTGGTTGTTTATAATGTTTTGTGATATTAATCTATCGTGTGGATGGGGTATATATCAATCAGGTTTTCTTGAATGCTGTGCATGTGTGTTAATTGGCATATATTTTTATAACATTGCACTCTTTGCCATTGCCTGCGATGGAGGCGTGCAAACCTGCATGATATTCTCACACCGCATGTGAAGGCCCGCAATTAACGGAAAGATGAGTGCAATAATATATAACTCTTTGCTCCATGATCAGAAAACATGCCAACCGAAGAAAGAAAAATAAAAAATTGGAGAGGAATACTGCGATTCAGTGTAGTTGGAACAAATTCATCTTAACGGATTTGCGCAAGCACACATAGAAAAAGAAGACATAGACAAGTGCAATCGAACAACTGCTGTTCGCTCTCTCTCTCCCTGTCCCTTTTTATTTTGAACACGCTCCGCCGCGGTGTTCTGTAGGGTATGGAAGCTCAACTGCTAACCAGAAGGTTACGGGATCGAAGCCCAGCGGCCAGCAGTGTCGCTGGAGGCGAAAATGCTGTTGGCCCGTGTGCTCAGATTTGAATGCAATAAAGAACCCCTGGTGGTCGAAATTTTCGGAGCCCTCCACTACGGCATCTCTCATTATCATTTGGTGGTTTTCGTGCGTTACATCTCACATATTATTCTTTCTTTAGCGCAAAAGTGTTTTATATCCGAGTCCACCACGGCTGCGCTCACGTATTTCTGTCTGTAACATGACAATATAAGATACATACTAACAGATTGCAAAGAGAAAAAAAAAGAGAAGAGGAGGTTCCGTCGCGATGCATTGAATCAGTGGCTCCGCAACCCATGGCACTAACCACTAAGTCACGGAGCGTACATATCAAGTTTGGTAACAGCAAGCTATTTATATATATCGTGTACTGTTTGGCGGTACTTGTCCGCAACATGCGAAGGGCTCGTCTTGGGCGCACGCTAAAGGTCGTGCTGCTTGCGTTTCGACGAGCGTGGGCCTTCACGGAGTGTGGTGTCTCCTGCGCACCCACTTATCAGATTTGTGATTTGGGAGAGCGCAAAGGTCACTTTGCTGCCTGCTGCTGCTGTGCTGTTGACGAAAGGAGTATGCATACGAAGAAGTAAGAATTGTGACAGTTGTTTGCGCTTATCTTGTGTATACTCGTGCATTCGTTTCGTGTGTCTTTCTTTCTATTAGAAATGTATGCTCGAAGTGTTGAGCTGTGACAGTTGTTAGTCTGCGCTCGTCCTGTGCATGCTCATTTCATGCGTTCTTACTGTTTGAGGTGCGCATTGCAAGTTCCCAGCTGCATGCTGTACTTCGCGTGCCATTGCAATTTGTGGCTGTCGCATTCTTTCCTTCGCAAAGAATGCCCAATAAATGTTCAACTACTTCTGTGAAGACACGTTTCACTTTCATGTTATGCCAATTTCTAAAAAGGGGGATCAGCCACATTTTTTCTTTAAGTCATACATTTTCATCGCTATACTTGTGAGTCTAATGTCCATGAGTCCATGTTTGATATGACGGATGGCGTTCATCAAAGCATTTACGCAAAATTTCTAGCACCGGAGCCCTCCCATGAAAGGCAAAAACTATTATTCACAAGTGTAGAAATAATTCTAGCAAATGTGGTAACGATTTATAGGCAATCAAACATTTTTGTACGCTCAGTTTGAGGCATGTGTACTGTAGCGAAAATGACACGTACTGCATGCTGTCATGACAGGCTCCCAGCAGGCTATCAAACTTGACAGCAGGCTTTTCAATGAGTTGTTACATTCATCATGCCTACATTTGTTTCTTACATACCTGATCCTGTTCTCTCTCCCTTCCTTTTTGTCACTGATATCAGTGTGCTTGGCCCTACCAAAGATAATTTGGTATTAGATAGGGTTTCACTATATTGAAGCTCTACTATACTGGTTGGTTTTGTTGACAGCACTTACTTTTTATTGTTTTTATTCTTTGCATGTGAACTATTACTCATTTTCACAGCGTGTGGTTTACCTCACTTGTAACCATGCCATTGTAACCATGCTCACTTGTAACCACGTAAATAGTTTCTCAACCCCCAAAGCATTCTGTAGCATTCTGTAATATACCTGTGGCAAAGCCGTCCATCTATAATGACCAGCTGGCCCTAGAAGAGGTACCCTGCCCACCACTACCACAAACAACCTCAATTATTAAAAATGTTTCTTCTCTCTCAATCCACTTACTGGAATGAACCACAAAGCGCAGTCTCAAAGAGTCGGGGGAGGAAAGTTGCATGGGCTGCAATTGCTCGAGTGATGTGGTAACCTTCAAGAAAGGTGGATACGAAAAAGCGAAGATGGCCAAGAAACTATGGAAGCATCTATATGTGCCTCACATTGTTAGGGCCTTTGCCTTAGATCACGCGAACAGTTTAAACTGTTGGAGCATGATCGCATGGTTGACAGTACATAAAGTTAGCAATTCCTGCTGGTCTCCACTGTACACTTCACTTTTGATTACAAAGTGTGGACTGTAATTCAGTTAGAGCGCACTGACTGGCACGCTGCCCTACGGTTATGCGCTGACCTCTGCTGCTGCTGCCTCTGTTCATCCAGTTCTGCCACCAGGGGTCCAACGTGGATGGCTGGGAGCTGGAACGCTTTGGCTACCGCAAGGCCAAGCTGTCCGTGAAGCTAGCGGTGCTCAAGCGGCTGCTCGAGTTGCAGTTTGATGCCAACAGCAAGTTCAAGGCAGAGCTAAACAAGCAGGAGGCGGATGTGTTGCGGCTGCAGCCCATTGGGCGAGATGTGCGTGGCCACCTCTACTGGCTGCACCGAGACCCACAGCTCAACTTGCGCCTCTACCGTGAGCACCCTGATGATGAAAACTCCTGGATACTTGTCTCTCGGTGAGTGTTTGCTTCGGTATAGGGTCTCGGTGTGAGTATATTATGACTGAATCATGCACTGCGATCCTCTGCAGAGGTGGCACGTGCCTCTTTCTTACTTTCAGCAAGTGGGCAGAAATTGTGGAATAAGAAGTGCTAGTAGCCATCATTTGGACAAGGTGATGTGCCTCGATCAAGGCCACAACTGCTTTTTAAGCTGCTGCCAGGACAAAGAGAAGTTGTCGAAACATATTTAGTGACATCCCTTGTTCAGTAATAATTTATTAGTTCACACCCCCACATTAACCCTGAACTCCTGTCTTAGTTGCTTTACTACTTAAGATAGGTGTTGCCTTGTAAGGTTAGAAAAGTATGGAGATGTAAAATTAGCACTTTGTTTCGCTGAGAGCATCCATTAAGTGTAACACTGCAAAAAAGAGACATCAAACAAAGCATAAAGTTTGATAATGTTCTTTATAGTGCAAACAACAATACAAGAGGCAAATGGCATTTGAAGAGAATGGTGAGGGAACATTGACCATACTTGTGACTAGTGTTGGAAGCCAAAATTTTATGTTCTTTTCACATTCAAGTACCTGTCTTCGTTCAGGTCACATTCAGTGAATTTTTAAACTTTTCTGGCTTCCCCCGTTTTGGCAGCCATTGGGATCAAGACGTGTCTATGTTTGACTACCTAAATGCACTAAGTACAGTACATATTAAAAGAAAAAACCTCTAAACTTGGCCTCATTCTGAGCCAGCCTAGTGTAAACTTTTTAATCAGGCCATGCACACCTCCAACTTTTGAAATTTGTTCAGCTCGTGTAAGAGTTGTTCTTGTTCTGTAATGGCAGATTAACTGTCGATTTTAATGTACAAAGACAGAGCACTCTCAGTGCAAGTCATGTCAAGCATACTTTGCAGCCACGTGGCACTGATGCTTACATACTGCCTTGCCATTAGGTTCAAAAGCTTCAATGAGCTCTCGAACAACATGTAGCCTCGGATCCTTACTGGTTCTACTAAGAGCCCACCAGGATGTAGCTTTTAAATTTTACTACTTTTATGTGCCCCAATTTTCCTTCTGTATTACAGAGATTGGCATTGTGTGAGAAAGCCTTAAGAATTTCTCTGTGATTTGGACACTGCCTAATGCTTTATCTAAGTCTCTGTATTTTGTGTGTGTGTGAGCAGATGTCTGTGGTGACGCTAGCTGTGTGTTTGTGCAGGACACGAGATGAGCTGGCGAAGGTTATCGCTGACCTCGAGGGCAGCTTTTCGGGGGTCAAGAAGGAAGAGAGCTCCTCCATGGACAGCGAGACAGGCGAGAGTAACCTCACTGAGCCAGACGGTGCTAAGACGGAGGGTGAGTGTAGCTCTTCAGATTTAAATGAGCTCAAAAGCAGTCGGGAAGGTGGAGGTTTAGTTGTGAAACAGAGCTGGTAGAATGCGATGCACCAGTTGTGCAGTAAGGCATCTCTAACACTAACTTGTTTTAAATGTAACAATGGTTAAAATGTGCTAGTAGTGGCAGCAAATACTTAAACAAGCCTTTATTGGTTTTGAGGACATATCGTGGTGCCACCTGCCAAAACGCTGAGGGACGTAAAAAGCGACATTATGTCACACTAGCTGCAATGAGTTCAACATCTCCCGTGGTTTAGCCTGTTCGTCTATGGTCGTTTTCGTGTTGCACGTTTTGTATGTACGTGCCTCAGCTGCAGAAAAACCTGTTTTCGTGTTGCACGTTTTGTATGTACGTGCCTCAGCTGCAGAAAAACCTGATGCGCACGCCGGCTGAGCTTTTTATTGAGCAACTGGCGATATCATTGCCTTGTCTACCAAGGTACAAGAGCTGTACGCATATGTGGCGCTGTGGGCGATGCATGTGAAGTAGCCACTTGTGTAAAATGTATTGCTAGTTACACAAATTGTAATAAGCAAAAGGTAAGCAACCGAGACATTGAAAGCCGCAATGCTGGAAGTGGAAGACTGGCTACATCGTCTAGACATAGCTTTCGATAGAAAGGACTGAAGTAGTAAGGTTGCATGCCATCAGAAAAGAATTATGTGTTCGTGATTGCTGTTCATTGACAGTATAAGCTGTCTCTTGCACGCCATACTGGCATTCATTGCATAGTGTTGTTAACTATTTGTGAGGTGCCACTTTGCACCTGCTTCCCACTTTGGTTGATGGAGCAGCTGCTTTAGTTGGTGATGTTATGTTTAATTATCTAGGTAGGTGTAACCCCTTTTTTCACCCACGAGGCTTTTGACCAAGGAAGCTGCGTGTATAGCTGCAACACTATCAGTTGGATGATAATAGCTCCCTGCCGTTGTTCTTTCTAATGTAGCAACTATTTTAAAGCTGCCTAGTAATTTGACATTGATGCGTTTGCACGCAGAAAAACCAGGCTCGGGGCTACCAGACGATGAAAAGCCTGCCGTGACGGACACAGGGCAACCGCCATCAGTAAAAAACGAAGAGCCTCACCACGAAGAAACTCTTTCTGTAACCCTTTCTGCATGTGGTACAACCGACCAGACTACCTTCCCCAGGCTTGCCATTAAAAAAGAGCTGGTAGAAAACAACACCTTGGAAGACGCTTCAAAGTCTCATAAATGTAAGTCACCGTCAGAAGTTGAGATGGTCCACGTGAACAGCGAGAAGGCCGAAATTCATCAGAATGACATCTCTGAGTGCCCACCAGGAGAGAGTGGCCAAGAGCTAAAGAAGTCCACTCCACATAGCGAGGACATTTCAAAAGACAAGAAAGATGACATCGACGGCAAGAGAGATGATGTTGCCAGCAAGACAAAAAAGCCGTCTGCAGTTGAGCAAAGCAACGCTGAGGATTTGTGCATGCGAGCCACAGCCGAGGACGGTGAAGTCAGGCCACCTTGCAAACCTTCATCGTCGCCTCAAAATCGAGCGCACACTTTTGCGAATCGAAGTGCACCTTCGTTGCCCGACAAGCCAGCCGCCACTCATGGGTTCGGAAATGCCAACGGGAACGGCGCAGTCGTGGTGTTGGAGTCTCTCCCCTGTGACCTCTCGGTCGTTCACCGAGAGGAGCCAAGCGTTCCCACAGATGACCAGCCCTCCTCCTCGGAAGTGCTCCAACCAGCGGAGGTCAGGCGGGTTGTCGACGTCGGTGCTGAGGACTTGCGAACCGGCGAGAAGCCGGAGGAAGTGCACATATCTGAAAAGAACGGTCAGCCAGAGTCGCCCAGCAGCATTCCATACGCGCACGAGAACAGCTGCCACGCTCCTGTGGTGTCGTCGACAACAACAAACCTTCGACATGTTGATGCTGTAGAGCAGCCACTGGCCCTTGACCTCACTAGGGTATTGCCAGAAGCTTCCACGGTCAATGCAGTATTGCCAGCTATTTCAGCCTCCCAGGTTTTGAGCACAACTGGCGAACAGCCAAGAAGCAGTGAGGCAGACAATGCTACTGCAGCCCATGATACTTCTTCTAAGCCATCTTCAGCTCTTGGAGACAAATTATTAGCTTCACCATCTTCACCCAGCCTTTATGCTCACACGGCAGGAGCAGAAACTTCTGTGCTTAAATCAGATGTCAGGGGTGCAACTGGTGCCAAGGGTGTAGTGCTTCCTGTGTCATCTGGTGTTGGTGAAGAAAGTTTGCAGCACGCCACTGAGGCAGTGACAGCAAGGACGCATGGTGGTGTTGCGGAGAGTTCTACTGATACAGTGCCGTTAAGGAATCTTGAATTTGACAAGCCAAACAGGACTGAACAAAGCAGTGAAAAGGAACATGTTCTAAATGTTGAAAAGTCAACTAGTGGTGCAAAGCTTACTGATGGGGGTTTCGAGAAGATCAGTAAGAAAACTTCATTTCTAGGGAACAAAGGCCATTCGGGGAAAGTCCTTCCTGAACATCACTCAGTGGGGACACCTCATGAGAAGTTAATGGACACAGTAGGAACCACTGAACCAATATCATTGGTGCCAGCAGCCTCAGATACAGAAACAAGTGCTAAGCTTTCAGCTTCATCTCCTATTGCTGATATTGAAGAAAAGGGAAGCGCCACTGTACCAGCGTCGGCTGTGAAAACAAAGTCCTCTGACAACCATTCGTGCAGTGAAGGGAAGGATGTTGCTAGCAGCAAAAGTGCTGTTGTCAGCTCACTGTTAAAAGACGGCACACCAATCAAGACAGTTGAGGAAAAGCCTGATGCAGTCTGTGACACAGTGCTAGGAGCGACCCCTAGTTCTTCTAGCACAGCTCTACTGAAGCCAGCAAAACCGCAGGAAGATGCAAATGATCACAAGAACATCTGTGGTGTTGCCGCCATGTTCGACTGAAAAGCAGTCACAGCCTAATCTACGCGATGTAGACAAAGAAAAGAGTGTGGCCAGTTGTTGAAAAGAGGTCTAGAAAAAGCCAGCCACGGCATCTCGAAACAGCCACGGATCGGTCATCAGACGCTCAACCTAAAGATTCACTTACCACAACGTCGCCACTGTCACCTTCGGGCGCAGAGACCAAATCTGCCTCGGAAAAGGTTACAGTGGAGGCTGAGAAGTCTCCACGTCATTCAGAGGACGTATATGAGGAGGAAAGTTGCGCAAAAAAAGCAACGGGGCTGCAGCACGCTGATTTTGCTGATCAGAAAAGTGAGAATGCAAAAACAAAATCGGGAAGCGGCTTATGTAAGAAATCACCACGCAGCGAACAGGCTGCTGAAGTGCAGCTGTCTACTCTTGACAAAGAAGCCAGTGAAGAAAATGACAAACGAACCACAGATTCATCTAAGTGTGTGTCGTCGGAGGCTTAAAAGAACTAGCAGAATGCCTCTCGACAGCAATAACCCTGACTGTGTAGACTCGGATGCAAACGAGACTGCTTCAAAATCGGTGGTTAAGACTGCTTCCCCACCCAGTGTAGAGAGTGAAAACCAGGAGACAAGCATTACTACAGGCACAAGCGATACATGTATGTCTAAAAGCACCAGCAGGAAAAAGCACTGCAGCAGCACCCCAGAAAAGGGTGCTACTGAGGGTGCGGGAGATGGCAGAGCTCATGTAAAAATAGGTAAGGTGCCTGCTTCCAGCACCAAAACCGGGGGAGAAGCAATAACTCGAGACTCATGTGCCAGTAGAGCTGCACCCAATGCTAGTCTCGGAGACCAACCAACAGTAGGAGCACTGGGTGAAAGCGATGTACAGACCAAAAGCACAGCTGACAAAGTTTCCACGAGGTGCTCAATCCGACAAAGCATACAGTGAGGAAGCAACGGCACAGGAAAAGACTTTGCAGAAAGAACCGCACAAAAAAGATTCTGTTCAAGCGGAAAACTTGGGAAGTGGTGACACAATAACACCAGAAGATCAAACTGGCAGTGTCACTTCAGCGAAAAAAAGAAGAGGCAGGTCACTGTCTTCATGCGTTGCAGATTTGAAGAAAGGTAGGAGGCAGAGTAGAGCACAGCAGCTTAGTGAGGATTGCACTGATGGTGAGGCAGCACAGAGGTTGAAGATTAGCATTCCTTCATTGAGGGTGATGTTGCGAAGGCTGGTTCCACCAAGGCAGCTTCTGAGAAGACATTCATAGAAGATAGCGAAGAGAAGGCTGTGTCTAGTAAGTGTGTGGAAGCCAAAGAAAGTTTTGCAGATTTTAAGAAGGGCAGAAGGCAGAGTAGAGCGCAGCAGTGTAGTGAGGATTGCACTGACGGTGAGGCAGCGCAGAAGTTGAAAACTGATGTTCCTTCATCTGCTGGTGATGTGACAAAGGCTGGTTCCCGTGAGGCTTCTTCTGAGAAGACATTCATAGAAGATAGCGAAGAGAAGGCTGTGCCTAGTAAGTGTGTGGAAGCGAAGGAAAATCAAAGTGAGGTGCAAGCTCAAAGCACTGACACCGTGGAGGATAATAAAGGCAAATCTATGGACACTAGTATGGACCAAGTTCTTAACGCTGAGGGCAGCACAAAAGAGCCGAGTGAGACTGAAGGCAAGCAGGACGGCAGTGTCGAAATCGATATGAAAGATTCAGATAACACTAGCAAAGATGCAGATGGCACTCCGAAATACACAGATAGAGAGGAAAAACAGGTTGCTGCTGGTGGAAAGAAAGAACCTAAGAGTAAACTCAAAGGTGAACAGGGCTCCAGGACTTCAACAAGGCTTAGAGGAGATGCTGCAGCAAGGAGGGACAAGGGAAAGACAGCTAGTGATGAAAGTGCTGCCAACTCTACACTCACCGACCAGAGCGATGTAATGAAGGATGAAGCTGTCATGGATGATGCACCACTTTCTACCGTGAACGAGACGGAGGCAATGTCAGCAGCACACGACAGTTCTACAACAACACCCGCTGATGAAGAAGCAGTGAGCACTTCACAGGCACCCACTGAGCTTGTGCAGGATGCTTCTCCGATAGTCAAGAAGCGCGGTGGCTGGAGAGGTCGTGGAGGTCGCGGAGGCCGCGGGAGAGGTCGGGGCAGGGGTCGTGCCGGCCGCTGGAGTCACATTAAGCGGCGTGTTCGACCATCAGATGAGCCCTCGCCCAAGAAACCCCGTGAGGCAGGAGATGACACCGGCGTGAATGGTGACACTGCGATACATGCAGAAAGTGAACCCGCCCCTGCTGTCGCCTTCCGGGGCCGCGGCAGGGGCAGGTCACGAGGGGGTCGGGGTAGGGGCCGCGGTGCTTCAAGGGGGAGGGGCCGTGGCCTGACCAGAGAGCTGGGTGCGGCTGCGGCTTGCCTCCTGGGTGCACCAGAGGGCGATCTGGCTGACGAGGACAGCCAGGGCCGCCGTCGGAGTTCGCGAATTCAGCGGGAGCAAGAGAAGCGACTGTCGGAGTTGGCCCAGCAGATGGCTCTGGAACAACAGCTCGAGGAGACCATCTTGCAGGAAGAGGCTGCCGCTAAGGGGAAGGCCACACCAACCAAGAGCCCCAAGGTGTGGATGTGTGCTATACTACCTTTACGATACTGCCTTGTATATGTCTTGTTTTACCATCATATACATAACTATGGGCGGAAATAAATGACCAGCACATAGGTCAGCTTCCAACCACTTCTAACTGTTAAAAAATGCAAACTTGTCTTAAATGTACTTTGACACTTATAAACACAATCTCTGCTTTAGTACTAAGGGCATAAAATTGTAACGTAATGCAGATGGCAAGAAGGAATGCCATGGGTCTGTCTAGGTGACTGGTGCTACTGTTCGTATGGCAGACAATGAGGTTTTTGAATGTTTGTGATACTATTACTGCAGTGTAGTTTTCTGCCTATATAATCTCTCTGGTCAACTTATTAGTTTGCATAGCTCAATGCTGCCAGCTTCTTTAAGCATGTGTTAAAATAAAGGTAAGTTCTTGTTTAGTGTTACAGTAGTGTCACTTATGTAATGTATTCAGTTTTATAATGCAGTAGCTCGTTAAACAATGTAGGCTTCATTAAAGCCCACTGGCACAAGAAAGTTTTGGAATCGTGCTTTTTTTTGTTGCAGTGTGATACTCAGGGCCTGCTAGTCACAACACAGCACATTTTTCGCTGCCGCACATAACAGATAATTAATTATAGTCTCTTCTTTACCGACAAGTCTCACTTTCTGTTCGAGAGCTCCAAAAACAACAAACCGCTGGGTGCAACAATCACCACCTAGCGTGTGGATCCTTCGACTACGCCAGCACAGAAAACTGTGGCGGGCTTCCGCACGGTACGCATCAAGAAGTTCGTTCGAACAGAAAACAGTAGATCAGGGTTGCCAAACACAAAACATTGAATGCATGCGCCACGGTCACTGACTAGTGAGCAGCTGCCAAGCAGTATGCTGAAGCAAACGCAGAAAAAAAAGAAAAAGGGGGGCTTTGATGTCATGGTAACTTGTACTGAATGCAGTGTGGTAATGTGAGGGGAGTAGGGGCGTCACTGTGGGTCACCTTAAAGGGGTTAGTGTTCGATCATGTACGCGAACTTTCAGATCAAGGTCAAATACCTTCTAAGCTAGGTTCGCCGTTGATATCTTGCTGCACATATACGCATGTTCGCGGGAATCATTCTTGCAGGCTATCTCAGTCGAAAAAATTTGTGTCGGTACCCCTTTAAGCCCTACACCATGTAGTGTTGCTTTTTATGTTTCAGACAGTGCAACATAGATGTAAATAGTTATTTATGAGAATTTCGGGGAGCCACTGGGTACACATTCTCACTTTCAGTGCCTACATTGAGCAGATTATTAATGACAAGTAACAGAAAATCATGCCAAAGATGTAACAATTGGGAAAAAAGAAAAGTGGATTAAATGATAACTTGCTGCACATGAGTGATGTGCTTATTGGCTTATTGGGCCTTCAGAAAAGCACCAGCTCTTCTGGACAACAAGTGACGATTAGTTATATTTTTGTCCACTTTTCTTTCTTCACGGTCACATTGCAATTACTTCCAATAATATCCTCTATACACTCAAACCCCAACGTAACGAACCGTAATATAACCAAATATTGGTTATAACGAAGTAAATGAAGGGTACTCTTGCAATAGACAAAGTGGTTGGAACATACTTTTATAGCAAATTTTCAGATATAACGAACTTATTTTCGAGTAAGTTGCAAACTTTGTTATAATGAGGTTTGAGTGTACTTTCCTCGGCATTATTGTCTGTTAGTTCTCATTAATATTGTGTCTAACAAAGAAAACGAGCCCTTAAACATACTTTTCTTTCCTTCATACATTGAGCAGAGTGATTTGTAGAGTGAAGCCTTGGTATAATGTCAGCATTATTAGAAATTTGCATTTCTAATTGATTTGTGGGGTTTAACGTCCCAAAACCACTATATGATTATGAGAGACGCAAAATTTGCATTTCTAAACGTTGTTATTTTGAAATTTCACCTTTTATGAAATATTTAGGGATACAGACCAGACCTCTATAGTTTTTTATACATTTCTTCATCACAACAAAAATCATATGAACACTCCAGGTGCATATTGCTGTCACCACTGGCATGGCCATTATGTTCCTACAAAGTGAAAGCGCAAAAGCAATGCTCGCTGCAGCTTTTGTTTGAAGTTCGTGCGAAAGCTTGCAAAAGTTGGCACCGATCGTGGCTCAGTCCTGGTTGTTTTGCAGTGTGAAAGACTCATGTGGGTTTAGGAGGGGAAAGGGGGGGGAGCACGTGGCCCCTGCAAAATTGTGTGGTTTGAGCAGCAGGATGCGGTTACAAGCATCTGGTCCTGAGAGGGACAAGCAGGAGGCTTGTAGGTGCTGTCATCTCCCTGCCGAGTTTGCACAGAAGTGATAGTGAAGGGGGAAGGTCATGTCACTTACTCCAGCTGTTGCGTTTCCTTTTATTGCCATGGTGGTGAGCTGTGCCTAATGGGACACTAAAGGGCTTACTCTCTTGCCTTATTTCGCATAGCATTCCTATTTGTTGCTGTCTTTATGTGGTAGCAGTGGTAAGAACATTTATACAAATCGTAAGGCTGTACATAAGAAAAGGTTTTAGAATTAAAAAAAAGTACACTCAATGAAAGAAAATCAGTTTTTTTTTTTTAACGTTATATTTGAAGCCCATGACATTGTCCGATCTACAAGGGGCACTCTCAATGAGGAGATGGGTAACTCATAGGAGACAAGGTTGCTTTGTTATCAACCATACTACTTCAGGTCCCACAGGCTCAGCTAGAGCAACAGTCACCGCACACGAGTTAGATGCTTATTGAGCCTTTGGAAAAGCGTGGGCTCGTCTGGTATGCAAGTCAGCTGGTCAGATTGTGGGAGGCTGTACCCAAGCTGAACCGCGAACCATAAGGTCATTGAGCACTCATCTGGCAGCCACTGTCTGTATGCCATCTTTGATGGTCCATGGCCAGCTAACTCTCCCAATGCTCGGGTATTCTCTTTTGCCTTTATCCCTGGCGACGGATTTTATGTCATGTTGCCAATAAATGCGCCTGGAGGTCAACGAGCGGCGAGCTACCTTCAGCCTGGAAGGAAGCTATCGTTATCCCAATTCTAAAACAAGGCAAAGACCCGGCCTCAGTTTACAGCTACAGGCCGATAGCGTTAACCAGCTGTCGTTACAAGGTCTTTGAGAAAATGATTATTCAGTTTATTCAGAATTGAAATGCAAGTGATACAAGTGCATGTGCTATGTACAAATACAGAAGGAGGTCTCAAAGTCGCGAGACTGTGAGTGAGACCTCCTATAAAATCATACATGAGAGATACAACGCAATAGTAAAGAGTGGTAAGGAAAGAAAATTAAGGTATACAAAATGTACAGATAAGCACGAAATAGCGAACGTAAGTTATAAAAAATGTACAGCTAAGCATGCAAAAACTAACACGAAAATGCAATAACATTCACTTTGTATAATATCAAGCATCATTACGGTAAGGATAGAAAAATTAAGATATACAAAATGTACAGATAAACACAAAATAGCGAACATAAGTTATACAAGGTGTACCGATGAGCACAAAAAACTAACAGAAAAATGCAATAACATTCAATGCATATAATATCATGCATTAAGAATTTAATAAGTGCGAACACAAGCCTTTTTTAAACATTTCGAGGGATCTGTTTTTGATCTCCAAAGGTAAAGAATTCCACAGGGAAGCAGATGAAAATTTTGTGGTAAACTTGCCATAATTAGTCCTAGGTTTGGGTAAAAGGAAGTTATTAGCCTTTGCAAAACGAGTCGATGACGCCTGAGGAAACTGACTTGAGTGTAGTAAAGGAATCGGAAGTTTTCCATTCACATATTTGTAAATAAGAACGCCGAGAAAATATTTAGCCAGCTTCTGAACTGATAAAATTACATGCGAACAGAGTAAGGATGATGCATTGGACATGAAGCCACTGAAGTTATTATTCTCAATGCTTGGTTTTGAAGATGTTGGATGGCTGATAAATGAATGGCATACGTATTTCCCCATGATGAAATGCAATAGATTATGTTGCTGTGAAAGAAAGCGTAGTAAAGTGACAACAATATTTCAAAACGAAAGAACGGGCGAACTTTTAGAAATATTCGAATGGCATATGCGGCTTTCCGCGTAAGCTCTAAAACATGTGAATTAAACTTTAAATGTTCATCTAATCTGACCCCGAGAAACATTGTACTAGAGGTAGAATGAATTTGAGTATCGCTTACGAAGACAGAGGGGTTCCTAGGTATAATTCGATTAGGTGACGAAAATACAACGAAGTTTGACTTTTTAGCATTTATGTTTAATTTATTCTTATTGAACCATTTAACGATATTTATCAGGTCGGTATTTAGTTTAAACAACATCGAGTCAACGTCTTTACCTGTAGTTAATATAGTGGTATCGTCCGCATAGAGCATACAGGACGAATGTGCTAGACATTGAGGGAGATCGTTTATATAAATTAAAAATAAAAGCGGGCCCAATATTGAACCCTGTGGAACACCGATGTTTATGGTTTTAGGGTTGGAAAAGGTACCGGACACATATACCACCTGTTCTCGATCACGCAGATAGTTACGAATTAGTTATAGTGGGACGCCAGGTACACTAATTGATTCTAGTTTCTGAAATAAAATGTCTTGCGAAATAGAATCAAATGCTTTTGAAAGGTCAAGAAAAACGCCTCCAACAAGACTACCGCTATCAGTAGCATATTTAATTTCCTCTGTTAGCGATATCATGGCGAGTTCAGTTGAGTAACCGGGCCTGAAACCGAACTGTTTGTTAGAAAGAATGTGAAACTTGTCTAGATAACACCGTAAACGTCCCGCGAAAAGCTTTTCTATGACCTTACTGAAGAATGAAATAATTGCTATAGGCCGGTAATTGGAGATCAAACGCTTGTTGTCCTTTTTTAAAAGCGGGAATAATTATTGCTTTTTTCAGAGATGTAGGGAAGAACCCAGTTCCAAATACAAGATTTATAATATGATATAATGCATCACAGAATA